TGCTTCCAAGAGTGAGGGCCAACATGTTCAGTATGAAGTTTAACTGCAAGCAGCTAGCAATGTGCTGAGCACCCTGTCCCTGCAGCAGGTACGTATAGTTCACCGTGGACTAATCTTAAAAGTTTTAGTCCTAAAGCTTGTAAGTGAAATAGTGCTCTGAATAGCTGCTCAAAGTGGTAACCTGCTTTTGAAAATACCTAGAGGAAACAGTTTATTTTCATATTGGTTATTATATTCCAACCACATAACTGCAGAGTCTCCTAACAGAGATAACATGGAACAGTAAATTTTTGTCTATGCATTAGTCATATTGTAGGTTGGTATTTTGAGAATGTAACTGAACAATTTGTTTTGCTAAAGACCTTCTTTACAGCACAGCTGTGCTGCAAACCTGTCCAGCAGTCTGTAAAGCAGATCCTACCTGATTCCAGGGCCAAAGTAACATCAGAGAGTGAACCACGAAAACCAACTGCAGGAGCAAGAAACATTAGAATGAAAAGTTCCCAGTAACCGATTTGAAAGTTATTTTGACTGCAGTAAGGGAAATGGGATATCAGAGGTTAATTTATACATATCTTGAGCTGTTCTTCACTCTAGTGAAAGTCAGCGAAACAGCCACCTGACTTGTCGGTTTGCAGGAGAGGAGGGACAGCACTGAGAGGGAAATGGCATCACTTCCGAACCCGCACAGCATGCCGCAGCCCCAGGGGAACTAGAGAGGGCCCATGCCTCACCATGCCAGGCAGAGCCTCCTCGCTACCCAGTATTGACAAAAGTAGTTAGTTGTGTCTCAAACCTAAAGAAATCACTTTACAACAGAAGGACATAATTTATAATATGGCTAACTCACCCTTAGTGGAGACTGCCATAAAAAGATGAAGCAGAAGAGACTACTCCATCAATACAGATACCTGTGCTCTTAAAAGGATAAAATAACATTTTCTTTAGCTTTATCTCACCTCTAACAGGTTTAACTTGGGTACTTTTTTCCCCCTCCAGTATGACTTGCTTAAAAGCTGTAAATCTGACCAGGTTCCTATGATGCAGGCTATACTAACAAGTAGATGAGGTCAAATAGTAACCAGAGGGAAAAAATAGGCCCAAAACCACTGGCTAAAGCAAACCTGGCTATTTTCATACATGCCTAGATATGATACTAAGCTTTCATACCTGGAAAAAAAAAAAAAAAATAGGAGAGAATTGCTTGTTTGGCAATAATTGCTAAAGTTTTTCCCCCCTTTGTGTCCAGCTCCTCCATGCAACCCTGCCATGGGTTTTAAGAAGCATGCCAAGTTCTGTTACGGAAAAATTCACACTGCCATAAACAACTGCTGATTAAACGTTACGAAAACATAACCAGCAGTATTCCTCACCTAACCCCGGGCTCTCAACTTTTTAGTTCAGCGGTTTGCTCTCCTATATGACATTTTGCTGCAATTTTAGAGGGTGAAGGTACCTTTGAAACCCTATGTGCTCATGAAAGGAAATCTGAAGGATTTAAACAAAACACTAGCTCCTGTGCTAGCCTGTTCCTCAGACCTGTGCGCAGAGAGAACGGAAGGCACACAGCTTTTCTCTGAACAGGAGGAGGCTTCTCTGCATGCCACTTCTCAAACTCGGCCATATTGCACAAATGCACCTGCTAAAAAGTCATGGGAGAAGAAAATCAGATGAACTAAAAAGGAGTGGCAACAAAACCATCAGAAATAACTACAATTTCCTGGTGTAATTTCTAGCCCAAACATTAATTATATTTGTTTTCTAGATTTAGGTTTTTAGGAGCACACATTTAGCCTGCTGTCCCCAGTCAACTAACAGAAATTCTGCTGGGAAAACGTGAAATAAAATTGGGAGTGAAATGATCTACCTTTCACCTGCAACACATTATCAGCCTGCAGCTGAAACTCCAACAAATTCAAGAAGTAACATTACAAAACTACCAGATTATTCCATGATAAACAACTCTTTCAGAAAAGGGGGGAGGAGGGGAATGTTGGGGATTTTTGTTTGTTTGTTCCCCCCCACACTTTTCTTTTAAATCCTACATTGGAAAATTAGCTGGCAATTCAAGGTGATAATGATTATATACTGAACACCCTCAACCAATTCAGTACTACTTGTTGTCTTATAAAAAGCATTCTTGACCTACTCAAAGAAAATATATTCAAGTGAAAGGCTAATGAGTCAGAGGCATGAATACAACCTTTCAAAAGCATTTTTTTCAAAACTATTGAAAGTACACAAAAACCTCAGCAAAAATGTTTTCACACAGAGTAGAAAACATCACTTACCACATGTTGAATCGGTCAAGTTGATAAACAAGGCATGATATTCAACACACAAGTCAAAATACATGTTGAGAACTTTAATCAAATTATAGACTTCTTTGAAGTCTACCATCATGTCTACACTAGACTTTTCAAATGTCTTGGGATTTGTTAGGTAATGCAAACTTCATGCATTTAATTTACTCCTTAGGCTAGACAAGGCCTTAGAAGCAATCATTTGAGATTAGCTTTGAGACATACTGTCAGAGTATCATTCAGGAGTTTATATTGTCCTTGCTTTATGTTGTGATCTGTAATTTTGATCAGCCTTCAGTCTCCACTACCAAAAGTGATATTCATGATACAAGGTGACTTAAAGTACACTTGGTAACACTAGCTGTCACACACAATGAAGTAAAATGTAGCTTTGCAGATACACTCGTACATAGTAAACAAATTGAGGCTAAGGAAATGAAATTGATAGAATATACTTCAAACACTGCATTTATTACAAAGGTGCATAGAGTTTATGCTATTTCTTTTGAATACTTACATTTAAACTACAAACAACATACAAAGCTAGGTTACAGTATGTAATAAAATCAACAATGATTATCTAGTAAATTCAGTACAACAGAATATTCTACTGTATTTAATTTCACAAAACATTTCTGAAACAAAGGCACTTACAGAATTAAAAAAAATTTAACATATACTCTTTCAACATTTAAAATTTTAATTCCATTCCCCCTCCCCTACGGCACTGTGGATAACTAGTTTGACATGAAGGCAATAGCTACTTGGACTGACACATCAGTAGTGCTTAAACTAAAAGTTTATGGATCAACTTCTCCATCTTTTCTATAACCATCCCATTTTCTTAACTATATGAAAACAAGTTCAATAGGTTGCATGACAAGAACTAAATAAAATTTGGTCCTACGCCTTATTGTTGATGATGATTAATACACTAACAATAAGAAAAGATCTGATTAAGTGCTCCAATTATGAAGGGAGGTAAGTGGACCATTTTCTCTTCTTTCAACAAGTTTTGTAACTGAAGTAGTCATACTACTACTAAGTAGTTCCCGGTATATTAATGATTCATCTCTTCACTTGTATATAGTTATCATTAGCATACGTTCACTGAAGGAAAGGTGTAGGTTTTCAGGCTCCTTAACCCTATCCCTCATCTCCTCCCACCACTCCACATACAGTGGTGTTCAGGGCAATTTATTTGGTCTGTACAACATCTACACCAAAACTTCAGATTTGGGGACCTCTGTTATTGTTGCCACTTTACTTTCCTACTGTCTTTTCCTTAGGGATGATGGCAGATGACTGAGCCAACTTCTCATGAAACTCCAGATTTTCCTTTCATAACCAAAACATAACCCCACTAACACTGCCACGAACTGTAAGCTTTGTCACATCAGATTGAGGAAAGGAAGAGTGGTGCAGAGTAACCGCCTCATGAAGCCCAACACTAGAATGCTGTACCTGTGCTCTGAAAGCTGCACGGCAGCTGTGCTCGCTGGCTGCATCTCACCGACCAGACTCCGTCCAGGCAGCTGGCTAACAAAGGTGATGGAATAGTCTCTGGCTCTCCTTCTATATGAATAAACACACAGGGGTAGGATCTATAGCAAGGGAATAATTTCTGCAGTTATTCAGTGCCCTCCCACACATAAAAATTCCAGATTTCTAGGGAAACACTTCATCCTCCATAGAGGAGAGACTGTCCATTTTTGGTTGTTCTCACATAACTTCTAACAGTGTAATGAAGCATTGCCCAATCTTGCAGCTTACAAGGCAGGAAAGAGGAGGAACACACAGACACAGGGCATGCATGCGCTGTGAGTGCTTCTTGGCACCATTTCACGCTATTAACGGCAACGCTCTTAGAGAGGTGTAATAGAGGGGCATAGGTTGTCATGAATCCCAATGCTGAAAAATTTCTACAAGTGTCTTGTAAATGTCCTGAAGACTTTCTTGAAAAAAGAATTGAAATAACCCAGAAATAGACTAAAAAATCAGGAAGAGACATGAGGTTGCCTTTGACAGCAGCAGTTTCCATCCATCATATGAGGTAAAACAATGCCACCATCAACGTTTTTCAAACAGTAATATATCTCAAATGTAGAATCGCAGGACAAATGGCTTAATGGCCTCTCTAAAAAAGTAAAATCAATGTATGAGATGTCAAAATTATTTCACTAATTATGTCACAGTGATACATACAGACTAGATAGCTCCACTGAGGAATAACAACTTGTATTTCAATGTTAGAAAAGATAGAATTGTAGAGGACACTAAAACAAAATAAATCATGATTCGTTTGATCAATACAAGGTGTATAGAGCCAAAAGCCTTGCAAACACTGGTAATAGTCATGAGGATGTCTCAAGACATTTCATGACTGCAAGCACTACCTTCTTGAAAACACGTTACCTCGCTGTGACCAAATCCTACCACTCTTCCTTTTCTTGACTTCTTGTTTTCTGCTCAGCTTTTTGAAGATAAAAGGGAGGTGTAATCTCTACTGTGTGTTGGGCTGAGATTTCTCATACCCCCTGCATATTATTCTTCAAACACAGACTGAGTTTATACAGATCTATCATTCCTATGTTCCTGCCATCTACAGTTCCCACTAGAGAGAGACAGTGACAAACCCTAAGCATTTAAAAACCCCAATCTATTTCTGACATCCCATCTCTCCTGCAGAATAACTCATCAACAACATATGACTTAAGTAAGCTTGTCCAATAATATTTGGACAATAAATACTTGTCCAATAATTTTTATGAAGAATTCTCACATTTTCAGCTTTTGATCTATTTGTTCTACGAAGTGGCAGGGAGTTTGGTTTTGTTGTTAATTCCTAGCTATAAATTAAAATGGCCTGAGAAAACACCCAATGAAGGCACAGTTTTTAAGCCTTAAAATTGGGAAAGAAAACAAGGAAATTATCAACTCATGCTATTTAGCACAGAAAAATGCAACTAGTCCAAAGACAACTAAACGTGGTTTGCTACCCCTTACTGAAGGCAAATGTGTTTCAAAGAAGAAAATTCCCTTTTGAATGGTAAATGAAATGTATTACACTGTAGCTTACCTAACAATAGTAGCTTCAAAACAGGCAGAACATACATGACATATATCAGGTAGTTTCTTAGAGATTAAGTTTTTTTATGTTTTAATACTGTGCAAAAGATTGCTACAGCTTTGGGTGTTTGATAATGCTCATATTAGACCATTCCTTCCAAAATTATTGCACAGCAAACATTATTGTGGTTCTTATTTCTGAAGTACTCCTTCTTCATGCTTTTCTCATTGTATATAGAACAAAATCTCTTTTTGTATTTGCTTGAGGTATAAATTAACAACTTCTGCAAGAAAAATACTCCTTCTTCATACTTGAAGCATTTAAAAAAAAAAGATACTGAATTAACTTTCACTTTACTTAGACAAAAGATTGCTGTCTTCCAGAAAAATATACTACAGTTGGACAGTGTAAACAGCACAAATTATACTTTAAAAAGTTTTGTATGCAGAAGCTTAGTAGAAGATCTTTTCAATAGGTGGGCTTCTGAGGATCCACATAAGCAGGGTTGTAAGGGGGCTGGCTGATTGGGTAAGGTGCTCCAGCACCAGCTGCAAAAGCAAAAACACAAGAAAAAACAGATTTATAAAATCTACATTCTGAATTCTACATCTGTAATGGCAACTTCTGTTTTGAGCACACAATTAAGAGGTTCAACTTATCTAGCATTTTAATTGGACTTGAGAACAGTTTGTGCTAACTCATAAAGCATCTGTATTTCAAAAGTAAGATCACAAAAAACGTTCTTGTGTTTTGGGTTTGTTTTTTTTTTTTTTGATGCTTGAGTGTACATGTGTATTATGGCAGCCACAAGCACATGGTTAGCCTTCAGGGGAGAACAGTCTAAAAAAGAGGAACAGATCTGGGCCAAAACAACAGCCAGTGGAAGTCAGAGATGCACAAACAACAGGATATACCTGATAGTATGCTGAGAAGTGAAAATAAACCACTGGGCAAAACAAAAAGGACTAGAGAAAGCATCTTATGATTCCTTCAGGGAAAATGCTTTCCTGGTAAGTGTCACAGAGTTAATTAAAAAATTAAAGGGAAAAAAGTATCCCACCACTACCAAGCACATTAAAGAGTTTGACTTATATACTAGATGTATATCACTCAGAAGATATCCTTATTTTCTAGTATTCTGAGACAAGCTGCTCGCAAGCAGCACCTTCATTTTCAGGTCTGTCAAATAGCTCAAGTTAGTTCAAATAACGCAGCACCTGATCAGATCCCTGGAACGTGTAAGTGTGGTTATCTTTCACTGATCTTGTAAAGTGAGTGGGTTTGGCTCCTGGGTGACAGAGCAGGTATTCTCTCCCTTGCATGTGACCTAATTAAGAGACTGCCCCTTGCTTAATAGACAAGAGAAATAAAGGAAAGAGCTCTCATTTTGAGGCATTCTCAGCTGGCAACGTGAAAAGTGCTTTGAGATTTTCCCAGAAAAAAAATATTTTAAGAACTAACAAACCAGCAACAGTTTGAGAAACCAGAGAGTAGGAGAAGCAGAGTGACTAGTTTATTGGCTCCCTCACATGATAAAGCAGCAGCCAAAGCACTTTGGGGTAATCCCATAAAACCTACAGCTTCTTCAGAGTTTACAGCAGAAAAATAAAGTCAACAGGCCTGCCAAGTCAGTATTTTTACATGTGGGACTGGTTTGCACATTGTTAATGTACAATTTCTAACTGGTTTACAAATGCCTAAGACCATGAACAGACATTTTATATTTGAGTTGTCATGAAAGAGTTACTTTCTAAGGGCATTATCTACTATTCAGGACTATACTTTGCTTGTTACTTAGAAGGATGAACAGTGTGATTTGTAAGAGGGCTCGAAGATCCTAGGACAGATAACAGCCTAGTCTTGGCCTCTCTGAACAGCCAGGAGTCAATTGTTCAGAGAACAGCTATTACCAGCAGAAGTGGGAATTAGTAATAGCAACAATAAAGCTGTATGAAAACAATGCTGTGAAAGAAGGAAAGCAGAAGAAAAAAAAAGATTCCGATAATTCTAACTGCTAGTCACCAGCAAACTTGGCTGAAGTTGATCAGAGACTTGTTATTCTATAAACATAGAATATATGTTTATAGAACACAGCAATGAACTAGTAGAAAATGCCATCTGTGTATAGATTAAAACATCTAGCAAATATTAGATTAGAAAGGGTATGTATAGTAGTTGGATGTTTCTACATATGTTAATTGGACTTCAATTTCAATATGAAATTTCAACTGAATTAGTAAAACATTCTACTGGATCCAGTGATAGTCCCACATACTGCCAAACTTTGCCAATACAGCTCCAGCTACATCTCCTCTTGCAATGCTTAACATAAAAATGGTGATGGGGAAACTTCAGCAAGGGTGAATTACAGCATCCACCATCACTTGAGTTTTACATAATTTGTTTACATTTACATTAATAGTCACAGAAAATAATAAATGTAAATAATACAAGATTGGCTCCAATGCAACTGTCTCTTTAGCTATTTAAGAGATAAAGAAACACTCAGCATTGCCTTACCTGCCACTGTTTCGTGATAAGCTGGGGGTCCTGACGGCTGCATGGGGTAAGGGGGAGGATACTGTGCAGGGTACGGTGCTACCGGCATTCCCGGTTGTGGCTGGATAGCCACAGGCTGATATCCTTGATATGGGGCGACTGGGTAGTGGGGTGGCACTCCCTGTTGTTGGGGATAGGGAGCGTGAACCACTGTAGTGGAAGCAGTGGTGGTCACAACAGCTACAAACAAGCAAAAGGAACATGGTTAGTGCTGGTGGTTCTAGATCACCTGGGACAGCCAACAACAGTAATGTAAAAAACATTCTCTCTTAAGATCAATTTCTCACTTCAAAATCTGGGTGATTTCATTTTCAAAGTTTCACAAAAGATTTTGAAAAGTATGCCTCTAAATATCCTTCCATTGATCTCAGTGGTAATGAGAGCCTTCACACACTGGGATAGGAGCCAACTTACCTCCTTGTTTCCCAACCACAAAGAGCAAAGAATTTTTTTCTTGGACTCTTCAAAAACCAGGAACTCAACCCTGCAGCCAAGTTATCTATCATTTGGTATGAGACTGGAAAAACTGCTCATTTTTAAATGTTATCTGCTTTTAAGGATTAAGGTGATAAAGATCTCCTTTATTAGATAAGGAGCCTCCTACCATGATTGCCCAAATGAGTTTCCTTTTGTACGTTGTCTACACACTAATACATCCATGTGTTAGTATGTCTTTCTCTAAATAAGTCAGAAAGGCAAATACACATTAAGTCATCGATTTTTGTAGAGGCTGATGTTGGATCATTGGTTCATATCTCTTATTGGAATAAGGGAGTATTAAAACTTTCTAATAAATGGCAATGATTCATTTTCAAGATCTTCTTCCTCTTTATGCTACAATTATAGACTTTGCTCAAGATTGCACTGTTGCAGTCCTGGGCCTTTGGTGTATTTTTCAGGTATATTTTTAAGAGACTGGGAAAAATTCAAAATTTCATTCTATCCCCTGCTTACCTAAACCAACCCCCCCCCCCCCCCAATTCACATACTGGGGGGATGGGGAAAGAGAACTTCTAAATGCTTAGAAAATATTCCAAAACATCTCTCTGCAACTTCACATTCTGAAGCAGCTTAAATGCTTTTTTTTTATGTTTAGGTATTGCAACTTTTGTAGCAGAGACGTAAGGCAGGTTATTTTCACCTTTTACAGGAACACAATTTTCTCGTGGGGGTGGGGGGGGTAGTAAGTCTTGTTCAAAAATGTGAAAAAGAAAGTAAGTATACAGGTACTTACGCCGTGGTCTTCGACAGGCTTTATACAAACAGCAACACGAACAGGTGAGGCACAGAATAATGGTAACTATAATCACTGCACAAACAGTAATTCCAATCGCAACAAGCGTTCCAAAACTGCAAGAAAGATACCACCAGAAGTAGTAAGAGTCTTTCACACAAATTTATTCCTCTTTAACCTAACCTAATCTTCTGTAGCAAACACATTGCTGCTCCTCAAGTGTTACTCTTACTACTTCATGCATTTGAGTAAGAAACAACTGTCAAATGCAGTGCTACGTGAGGTCAGGTCTGCTAAATCAAGGGAAGCTGACCAACCGCTATCAAGGAGCACGCTCTCCTGTACATGAAAAGGACCCAACGTGAGTCTTTGGTCCCTCTCATTCTAGTGTGACTGCAATTCTTGTTATTTTAGTGCCACTGTGTGGCCCTTTATGTATTCCAGGTTACAGCGATAAGGTTTCAAAATCACTAGTTTGATGACTTAATTTTCCAAGCATTACTTGACTGCTCTGAACACACAGGTAGGCATGCCTGAAATGAAGCACCCCAGACTTTGGGGTGAGAGCAAGTTCTTTGCACAGTTGTAAGACCTCCCAGGCCCAATCTCGAGACAATCTCGGTACTGAGCAGACCTCTCCATGCTGGAGATCATTGGCATTTGTAAACAAACAGTTGTCTTAGAAACCATGTTTCACATGGTTTGGAAGATCTGAAATTCTGCCAACTTTACGGCAACAGCAAGTATGTTGTACTACCTTATGGGAGACAGAAACACTGCCTAAACCACCAAAACCTAGTACAGAAAGGCCAAAGATTATACCAGCTTTAACCTCTGTGATGAGTACCAAATGATGGAGGCAGATGTAAAGCTTCCAGAGATGACTCTTTGTAAGTTCTGTTTACCACACAGGGAAGAAAGAGTAACACTGTAAAGCATTAAATGCGCAGTGACAATTCCCTTTTAAGTGTTAATTCACATGATCCGTTTCCTACTGTCTGAAATCAGTAAAGCTCTTCTTCCATAAAAGCCAAAGTCTCCAGCATTCTTATTTCTTAAAAAATGCACCATGCATCAGTTTTGGGAACAATTGCAGGAAGTCAGTTTTAATGAACGACAAGCTCTAAAATAATGAGTAGAGAACTGGTTTCATATCCATCCTGTTTTTGCTTCTTCGTAGAGATTTTGGCTACAGAACTCTAGTTTTTTTCCTGCTCAGTTTCCTGTTAACAGCTTTAAACAAAATGACACATGTCCAGAACCTCCAGCAATTTTCGCTTGGCTACCAAACAGCCATCTAACGTGAAAATTGTTTTTGAGTATCAACAACATTTGAAATGCAAATCGCTCTATCCCTAGCCCAAATTTGGAAGACCTCACCTCTGTCTTCTAGAGCAACTTAACCCTCAGTAAGCTGGACACTGAACATAAGCATTGACAAATAAAACAGGTTCAATTTAAAATGCATTTTTTTTCCCCTAAGAGAGGTTCCATCAATTTCATTCTGTTTCTGCAACAGCTATAAGAAAAAGCTTAGGTCAAATCTCTTTCAAGAATCCGAGCAACAATTTTATCTAACTGTATCTAACTTGTGCACTGATTTTGTGAAGTACTAAATATTACACTATAGATTTACTCCTCGAGTACTAAATCTAATACTGTGGATTGCCTACGGTCACTGCACCTAAGCATTTACATTTAAAACAGGAAGCAGGAACTGCTGCAGCCTCCTTTAGTCACAGAAGTTGTGTCAGGAACACTGCCAGGAAAGCAAACAGATGATTGCAACACAGCTACAAAATGTAAAGATGCATGCATGCTTTGTCACATTTATTTGCACCCTTACAGAATGTTTTTCATATGCTGACTTGCACATGCAAAGGCATTCCTAACCATGCCACTTTTAAGTGCTCTCCCCATCCTCAGGAGCATTAGTTTCACTTCAGCACAGTAAGTTCACAGCCAGCTCATCTCCATCCAAAAATCCCATTTCTTTCAAGCCTGGTATAAAAAGGAAGATACAAATGCAATTTCAAGGGGCGGGGAATAGAGAAACATACACAATGATACCACATCCTGAAACACAGGCTGCCTCCTTTCCATGAGGCCAACAGCAAATATACATCAAGTTAGTTTGAAAACGCAAGCTTAATACTTGTGTATGCAGAAATGGATCAGATCTGAGAGTGACCTGTAGAATTTAGATTAACTATACAGGGTCCTTACTAGATACTCATTATATAAATTAATATATACGCTGGAGAAGAAAGAGAGAAGTGTGCACAATGGATTCATACATTAGACTTAACCATCTTGATTGCAATGTTCACAAGAAACAGCATGAATGCCTGTGACAAACTACAAAAACCTCTAGAAACTGCAGGATGACAAACATTAACTACAATTACTGCTACTTGTGGAGTGCCAACAGCATTTTCCTTGCTCTTGTTCCCACTTCTGCATCAACCCTGAGAAAGCTCTCTCACTAGGGAAGTTAACATTCCCATTACACACAATTACTACCAAGCAACTTTAGCAGAGACAACAGAAAAGTGTCTTCTAGGTTCTTCCTTGGGCTTTTTCCCCAGCAGAGAAGGAAAAAAAAAAAACCCCAAACTTTTTTTGCTAGTGAACTATGCTAAGGAAAGAAATTCATGTGTCAAGGAAAGAGATTAGGCCTGACAAAGACAACTAAAATTCTTCATTTCTACAGACAATAAACCTCTGAACTTTAGCAAAGGCTGGGCAAAACCAAAGAAACCTAAGAAATGGAGAAAACAGACAAAGTAGAGAAACATCTACTCATCATAAATAAACTAGCACAGCAGGAAACTGGCAGAGAGCCCTTCTCTTTCACGACCAAATTCAGTTCTGATATGACAAGAGAGAAAACAGCACAAGCCCATCTGCAGCCAAGCTGGCCACCAACAGATAAACATTGGTCAGTTTGAAGCATGGACTCCATATGCTTATTTTTAATTACAGTTTTCTGCTCACTGAAGCACATATCTCACTGCGTATTTACTACCTCTAATAAGGAAAGAGACAAAAGCAAAGCTCAGGGGAAAAAAAACCCTACCATATCCTTATTTTCACCAAGTTGTTAGAGACACCTTGTGCATTTTCATCATTTGTCTGCATCTTTGCTAAAAGGACACGACCACAGCATGATGACATTTTGCATACATCTTTTAAAGAGCTAAATGGAGACATTTAAAGTACAGGTGTGTCAGGTGTATACACTTTAGAGGGCTGTTCTGTATTTGTGTGTGTAAACACTGTGATTCAGTTCTACCCACTGAAATACTGTGTCATTACTACAGACCAAAATTACAAGCCTTCAGAAACAGCCCAGTGAGTGAAATAACAGCCAGGAGTTAGTTCTTCCCAGAGTTTTCTAAGGAGTGTACACATCTGGATTACTGTAGGCATTTTTATCACCTATGTTACAGCAGAAGCATAATTCTCCTGCCAGTGCTTGGGCTCATGCAGACTAACGTCTTGAAACAGCAGAAGGTAGCATGACATATACAGAAAACAAAACAGTATGTGCCATGAACTTGCAACTTGCAGCATCAACACCCTCTTAAACACTGGAGCTCTTAAAAAATATTTTTTTTTCTAACGATTTGTTGATAATCAAAACTTTTGGAATATCTGAATGGTCAGGCACTATCTTATTGTAATAATGTCTGTCCTTTTACTGCCCAAGGAGTACTGCCCTGAGCACTTCTTCCTGAACATTCAGTAATATTCCACTAGTAAAACTACTGAAAAAATCCTGCTAGTGAAACTACTGAAAAAATACCACTAGTAAAACTACTGAAAAAAGTGCAGGAAGGCTACCACTAATAGATGTTACTTAAGTGAGGCCAGAATGGTGCTCAGCATACTTTACTCAGTGAACTATCTAAGCTGCAGGACACAAGATATCCACTGTATAAAGACTCTTGCAGTGTGCCAACTCCAGAAAGCCTATACTCCTTTCTTAAACAAAACTACTGCTTCATTCAATTGCTTTCACTTGATGAATCTGTCTAAAAGGACTCTGAAAATATTTGGAAAAAAATACATTCGCATTAAATGATAGTTTTATTACCAGCTGTTAGCATTATACATAAATGAAAAAGATTAGGCATGAGGAAATTAAACAAAAAACAAACCAAAACACACACCTTACCCCCTGCATTCTGCAAACAAATGTCAGACTGCAGAAATCAGGGCGGCCATAGCACCAGATCAGAATGCTCTGCTGGCGTCACGGTTTGAACACGAGTTTCCAGAGTCCCACATTATATATACACCATAGTCTCTAAATAAAGCACACACTGTTATAAACAGCTTGAGCTCATTCACTGCCATTTCCTGCTTCTTTCTCTTCACATAAAAGCTAACTTTTGCCAATAATTAGAAAACAAAATTGAGAGCAAAACCAAACCTAATAGCAGTTTTACTGCAGCAATGATAAACTGCAACTTCTCATAAAATACATGGGAAAGTAAATATGAAGAGACGACTCCTTGCCCTTTCCTACCGCCACCTCTCTCCTTCCTTGCCCTAACTCCACTTCTACCCCTATTCTGTCACCTTTGGCAAGCACTAAATTTTATGTGCAATGAGCATAGCTCGCAGACTCACCTTACATATTTTGAATAATTAGACAACTTTAAAGGTATCAGTTCACATAAAGGGAGTTATGTGCTTAGCGCCTGTTTTACCCCTTTTGGTACTGAATGAGATGCAATGGACATATTAAAAAGTCAAACCAAGGATCTAAATAGTACTATTTGTAGAAGTTAATTCTCAAGGCAGTTGTTCATATCGGATATCTCAATCTTGAACACTGTCAACTGGAAAAATAACATAAAATGCTTTGAGTGTATTTAAGGCCTTTTAAAATATCCAAGTTTCAATTCCAGCAACGTATTTTTAAACCTCCTTAATAGTTTGAATCACTTAAGTTGGGACATTTGGACATCTGCTGTAAAGAAAGTTTTTGCATATCTATGTATTCATGACAATGGGACACACTGCAACTTTTGTCTTTAAAAAAGAAAAAATACCCAAATGAACAACAACGAGACCACCTAGTTCTGAAAAATTACTTTAAGCACCT